CAGAGGTTTTGTGAATTTAGTTTGAATATTTGGATTTGTGTTTAAGGTTTTGAGAAAATGAGTGATAGTTTCAAGAAATGTGTTTTAGCAATTCAGAAAAACTGTAAAAATACACAAGACTGCACCTTTTCTCTATGGCATGTATCAATATCAGCAGTACAAAGCTCACATTACTGTATGCGGGAGATTGATTGCAAAAGATTGGATGGAATTCACCCTTACACTTACTGTCATTGTGATACAGAAAAGAAAGTGTTTTACAGCACTGCATAGCACAAAGGAAAGGACACAACATTATGTGCATGTAAACACAGGAAATACCTCCTTGACAGACCAGTTGTTTCCTCAATATTTGGCTGCCTTTGACCAGTCTCGGCTACATGATCCACTAGTGTGGCCCTTATTTCATTTGGAAAGTTCCTTTGTGCACTGGATGATGTGGAGGTTGAACATATAGTTTTGAGAATCTCATTTCTGATCTAAGAACTGTACAAAAGTGTCTGAGAAAAACTGCAAGTATGTCAGCGTCTTGTTCATCTCTTATATTTAGAATCCAGTCTGAAAGCAACAAGAAATGTATACTGCTGTGAGAAAATGCACTAGACTTACGAATTTCACACTGTTTGGTGAATCATGAGCTTAAAGCAAGTAAGAAAAACTGTAATATCATTTTCACAGGAAAAGATTCAACTCCAAAATAAGCTGCAGGAATGTGAAAAGAGTCTAAGCTTGATAAAACGGGCGGACACAACTGATGCAGCTGTAGTCAAAAGGTACATATTATTCCAACTTACTTTTTTGTGGGCTTTCAGTCATATTGCCTTTTCTTCAGCAAAGGATGGAGTTTTCTCAGCTGTCATGGTGTTGGATTTGAGGATCTTTATGTTTGAGTTGAGACTGTCTTATCTAACTGCTATTTGTAGTGCCAAGAAGAAACTTTCATGCTTCAAAAGATATCATGTTTGAAAAATTATGCATATACTGCAGTTCTTTTGTAATTCCTTGATCTGAGAAACACCTGACATTTCTCAAAGGTGATAGAAAAATGTCTTGACTTTGCAATGAGTTTATATGTGGAACTAATTGGTTGCTGGTTGTGATTAGGTCCAAAGACCTGCAAGGTGAAGCAGCAGATCTCCGTGAGAGAATCAAACACTTGAACGACATGGTGTTCTGCCAGCAGAGGAAAGTTAAGGGAATGATTGAGGAGGTGAGGGGGTATTTCTTCTTGTGTGAAACTGTCATGTGCATTTAGATCTTTTGTTCTGCTTTGTGTTTTGATAATGGGCGTGGATGAGATACAGTCACGGGAGAAAGCAATGGCACTGATTGCAGTTTCCTGGTTTTCTGCATAAAATGGTCATAAAATGTGGTCTGATCTTCATCAAGGTCACAAATATCATCCAGCACAATATTTCTCAGATGATAAAACACAAACAGTCATGATCTTTTATGTCTTTACTGAACACGTCCATTAAACATACAAAGTGATGGTGGGAAAAGTAATGGCAACAGTGTTTTAATAACTGGTTGAACCACCTTTGGCAGCAATAATCTCAAGCGAGTGCTTCCTGTGCTGTGGATTAGACCTGCACAACGTTCAGGAGGAATTTTGGGCCATGCTTCCTGACAGAACTGCTTCAGCTCAG